ATATGGTACCTCTTCAAAATCATGGTGCATCTTATACTCTGAAAAATATGGTACCTCTTCAAAATCATGGTGCATCTTATACTTTGAAAAATATGGTACCTCTTCAAAATCATGGTGCGTCTTATACTTTGAAAAATATGGTACCTCTTCAAAATCATGGTGCGTCTTATACTCTGAAAAATATGGTACCTCTTCAAAATCATGGTGCGTCTTATACTTTGAAAAATATGGTACCTCTTCAAAATCATGGTGCGTCTTATACTCTGAAAAATATGGTACCTCTTCAAAATCATGGTGCGTCTTATACTCTAGTGTGTCTTATAGTCCAAAAAATGTGGTAAACCAGACATTACCTTTCTTTGAGCAGCAGGTTTTGAATATCAGATCAGGCCCTTCCCGGATGAGGTTGTTAAAGCCTTCGATGATAATAGGGGCCTGTGGCTGACTTAAATCTTGCAGTTCCTTGATGTCTGCGTTAGGCCTTATGCCAATAGGAATCACATGGACGTCCCTGGGCGGGCGGGTGATGGTATCCGTGGCAGGATTTGCAGTGACCATGTAAACCAAGTGCGGCACTTGATCTGTTCTTCTCTTGGTGGTAAATGACTGTTCGGAGACGTAGTTGAGCGCCTGTCCAGTGTTGGTCGCGTTTCCTCCCTGGAATTTCATCTCCCGCACCTTCTTAATCAGGAATTCCTTGGATTGACGTTCCTCGAAAGAATGCTCCACGGTGATGGTGAAGGAATACTGGAGGATGCTAATGTGGACGGTTTCTTCTCCCACTTCCAACTCCTGGATGGTACGGATGAGAAACTCTTTGATGGTGTCAAAATTGCTCTTGCCGACTTCGCGGGAGCCTTCAATCAAAAAGACAATGTCAAGGATCTTCTCGATTGAAATCGAGACCTCCGTCGGAGGCGCCCCTGGAAAACCGTGAGGAAAGTGTGTCCTTGCTTCCACACTGGGAAGAGTCGGGATTGGGCGTTGGGTGGAAAGGAAAACACTGGCTTCAGGCACAAGGCCACAGAAGTAATCGATGATTTCATCCGTGCGTTGCCTCAACTCAAGGACGTTGTTCATGAGGAAAGCTCTGTTTTCTGGCGACTGCCGTTCGATTAGCCTAATTTGCTGAGTGTTCACATGAGGCCCAAGGCCGATGGGTATCACAATAATGTTTCTTCTTTTCAGCAGCGGGAAGATCCCCTGAATTCTCTTGGGGTCCTTGCTTGCCATCAACAGCACAGCAATTTGAGCGGCGTTTGTCCGTGGCGCCTTGCCGTACACGTGGAACACAACGTATTTGAGTATCTCAGTGGCAGAGGCTACGTCCCCACCCGTGTATTTTATACTTTGCACAATCTTCCTCATTTTACTTGGCTTCTTAATGTCCTTTAGGCCAAGGTAAATGTGTGAACCGGTACGATATTCCAGAACTGCCAAGCGGATCCGTTTTTGGGAGATTTGGAGTTTTCCCATCATGTTAATGATGAAGTTTTTCATCTCTTCAAAATCGCTCTCAGAAAGCTTATTAGAACCATCCATTAAGATGGCCAGGTCCATCATTTTGCTACAGGAATATTGACGTGTAGGTTCTTCCTCCTCTTCCTCCTCTCCTTCTTCCTCTTCTTCCTCTGGGCTAGCAGTGGTCAAGAATTTGCCAACCTCTTCTGGATCACACGGGCGGCATGTCAGGTTCCGTACTTTGCAACGGCTAGGCAAGTGGGGAAAAAAACAGTTAAAACTCCATTTCCAACTTCTGTTTTTTCAACTTCGTTAAAAGATTAAATGTAGGAGATGACCAGGCTGAGCCTCGGGGAGGAGTCAAATGTGTCATTAGTCTCGAGTCCCTTTGAGCCCACAAAAGATTACCTTGAATTCCATTGACTCTTATCTACCGCCAATTTAATTTGACTTTCAGTAGATCAGATTCTTGTAGAGAACATTAGCATACCTAAGCCTACAGTATATTCATTTGAACTGCTGGACTCCTGATTTCCCTGTGCTTGACTTTACAGTAGTGGTCAAAATTGTGGGAACCTTTTGGGAAAAGTGTATTTTTGAGGTTTGATGGCTAATAACACCACTTTGTTTTGGAGTAGTACCATAAAATTACATATCAATAGAAACATAATTTAATCAAGAATGTAATGCAACAAAGTTTGCTCAATTATATGTATTCTACGAAAAGTTATAGTCAAATATAGCCAGCAATTAAACCCAGTTAATAGAAGCAATCATTCAATCTTGGTTTCACATTATAACAGCTGCAAAACTAAAAAAAACTTGGTTCACTCCATGGGAAATCGTTATAAGGCTGTAATTCATACTAAAGGTTACCCAACTGTTGTGGCCCAGCAGGGGCTGCTGGAGCTGCAAACAGACTCCGACAGCGAGGGGCCTTATGAGTTGGCTCTGGAAGATGTGGAGGACCCTGGACAGGGTTCCGACTCCGAGCAGGGATCAGAGAGGCTGGTTGGCTACCAGGAGGCACCTGAGGAATGGAGCAGTGGTCAAAGCCAAAGGGAGTCTGCTCCTGCCGTCAGGCCTTGGAGCAGTGGCGAGGAGACAAGGGAGGTGGTCCTGGATGCCTGGCAACGAAAAAAATCTGCCTCCCAGCAATTCGCCTCCTTGTAGCAAACAGAAAACAGCCTGTTTAAGTTTCAGTTTCAGCACAGCCTGATTAACGCAAGAAAAAAAAAATCTGCCTCCCAACAATTTGCCCCCTTGCAGCAAACAGAAAACAGCCTGTTTAAGTTTCAGTTTCAGCACAGCCTGATTAACGCAAGAAAAAAAAAATCTGCCTCCCAACAATTTGCCCCCTTGCAGCAAACAGCAAACAGCCCATTTCAGTTCCCAAGCAGCTGATCGTCAGGCCTCCCGATGATCAGCTGTTTCAGGCAGCAGGGACTGCCATGGCCTATTGCCCCTCTGCGTGCCTTGTTTTCAATGGCAATCCCTGCAGCCTGAAACAGCTGATGGTCAAGAGGCCCCACTATCAGCTGCTTGTGTTAATCAGAATGTGCTGAAACTGAAATGGGCTGTTTGCTGTTTGCTGCAAGAGGGCAAATTGCTGGGAGGCAGAGGCTAAAGGATGGGGGCTGGCAGCTGGGTGGGGCTACATTTGGTGTATAAGACGCACCCAAATTTTCACCCTCTTTTATGGGGGGAAAAGTGCGTCTTATTACTTATACAGTAATATACATTTCTTCTCTGCCCTAACTCAACCTATCTCCTCTCTTAAATGCCACAAAGGTTTCTATTTTACCAGGATTGGCAGTTCTGGGGATTCTCCGAGTTCAAAATGATCTTTTTCCCGTGAAGAATCCTGCGTCCTTCTGCTTCGCACACCGGACATTCCTCGAGTTTGATACACGACTCGGAAAGCTCATCAAGAATTTTTCCTGTTTTACAAGAGTGTTGGAGAACGAGTTTAATCTCTCTTTTTCTTTTAATAAAAATGCAGCAATATACCATGACACTTTAAACATTTAGCCTCTCCCTTGGAAACTTAGTAAGAGCTCCAAAATTTGCAAGGTTGCCCACGATCAGCAAGGAATGATGTTCTTCTACTGATTATGGAATCTTGTTCAGGTGAATGAAACGTTTGCAAGAAAACAGCCAAGCTGACATCTGTACTATTTCCTCTTGCTCACTCTGTCTGCACACATATAGGTACGTATTATAATTTGTGAAGGGACACAGTTTAATTTGTTTTTTTTTAAAGGAATAGGTGGATGAAGAAGCCTTTTAAAGCCATTTCTCCTGCTCCTGGATGTCTGCCTCTGAGTTAAATACAGACAAAAGAATTGCATTTATTTTATTTCTTCAAAAGAAAGAGAAAAGCCTCTGCCAGAATACTAAAACTATCCATAATCTGAATTCCATTCCATTCTATTCTTATTCTAAATTCTGTTCTATTCTTTCCTGATTCTATTCTATTCTATTCCATTCTAAATTCTGTGCTATTCTTTCCTGTTTCTATTCTATTCTGTTCTATTCTAAATTCTATTCTAAATTCTATTCTAATCTTTCCTGATTCCATTCCATTCTATTCTAAATTCAATTCTATTCTTTCCTGATTCTATTCTATTCTATTCTATTCCATTCTAAATTCTGTGCTATTCTTTCCTGTTTCTATTCTATTCTGTTCTATTCTGTTCTATTCTAAATTCTATTCTAAATTCTATTCTATTCTTTCCTGATTCCATTCCATTCTATTCTAAATTCAATTCTATTCTTTCCTGATTCTATTCTATTCTATTCTATTCCATTCTAAATTCTGTGCTATTCTTTCCTGTTTCTATTCTATTCTATTCTATTCTGTTCTATTCTAAATTCTATTCTAAATTCTATTCTATTCTTTCCTGATTCCATTCTATTCTAAATTCTATTCCATTCTTTCCTGATTCCATTCTATTCTAAATTCT